AATGCAGCTCGCGGAGCAATGGTGTTATGTGGGCCCTTCTTGGGGCTCCAAAAGTAGCCTGCGCAGCTGCATTCAGGACCAGCTGTAGCTTCCGGTTATTCAAGGGTAGCCCCATGTAGAGCGCATTGCAGTAGTCTGTCTGGGAGATAACAAGGGCATGAGTGACCGTTCGAAGGGCATCCCAATTCAGGAAAGGGAGTAACTGATGCACAACCCGAAGTTGTACAAAGGCCCTCCTGGCCACGGCTGCCATCTGCTCATCAAGCAGGAGCCGTGAGTCCAGGAGGACCCCCAAATTATGCACTGGGTCTGTCTGGGGCAGTGCTACCCCATCCAGCACCAAAGTCCTGGATACAGAGGAGCCATTAACTCATAGGCACTCCATCTTACCAGGGTTCAACTGAAGCCTGTTGTTCCCCTTACAGCCTCCAGGCACCACGAAAGGGCGGTCACAGCATCACTTACTTCACCTGGGATGGAGATGTATAATTGAGTAACATCGGCATATTGATGATACCTCATCCCATGATGGCGGATGATCTCACCCAGCGGTTTCATGTAGATGCTTCATGTTTATTTTAATTAAAAGATTAAATGGTAATGTTCTGCAGCCAATCCCACATATTGCTTTCTCATAATGGGTGTTTTGTGTCCGGCCATGCCTACCGTGGAAACAGCTTTGTGAGAAAGCTCATAAGATGCTCATAATTCCAAAGATGCTTACCCTATCCTACCTAAAAGGGCCAATCTTACCCAACTGTATCATCATATGACTTCTGATACCACAGAGAACTTGGTATGAAAACTGTGGCATTAGAGTCTATTCAGAAGGCATTTTCTTTGAAGATCTGCTTATTTTTCTTCCTGCTCCTGCAGTTTAGGCAGCCATAAATGGTCTCTCCTAATCTAGTGGTGTATCTGCCATCCAGATTAAACTGAAGATGGTAGGACTTTAGAATGGGCTTCTCTGGTGGATTGTATATGAAATGCAAAGGTGGAAGTTCAATATGACAGATGGTCTTGACCATACCAAAACAGCAGTATTAGCTGCTAGGAGAAAAAATATATCTAAAATCCAGGTTAAGGAAATACTTGGTTAGGCCCACACAGGATTTATGAAACTACCCAAGCTTTTGGGTGTGAAGAATTTATAAGTGGGGAAATAGAAAAAAGGAAAAGGGAGAGGGACAACATGGCTAACTTTAAAGCTTTGTCTGTACCAGTTTACAGTCTTGAATGGAATGGGAGAAGAATCTACAGACCGTGTCTGTAGGTAGACAGATGATATTAAGTTGAACCAATGCCTCTTCCCAGTGCTGGCTGGGATGACAATTGTTCTTGGCTTCTTATTTTTGAAAATATAAATCCAGGTCTTAGGCCAGTGTTTCTCAACCTTGGTAACTTTAAGATGTGTGGACTTCAATTCCCAGAATTCCCCAGCCAGCATGTCTTAGGCAAACCTGTTTCCATCAAAGCAAAGAGGCACAGATCCCTTGCTTAGAAAAAAAAACTAGGTAATACTCATGAATGAATCTTGAAATAATGTATTTGCTATTCACCCAAATGCGGGGGTTTCTAGGCTGCCTTCAGAATCAGCAAGTAGGCAATCTGTGGTGGCAATTGGACAATGTGTGCTGTGGTAGGTGCGCAGGATTACATCTTCATGCAACACAGTATACATTTGTGTGCAAGGACTTATAATAAAACTAGCAGTGTTAGAAATAACTGCCTTGGCCCGTATGAAAAATCCACAAATGGGGAATAGCTGGTTCTGGGAAAACCTTTTGATGCTTTCTGATAAAGAATACCAGCACTTGAGTTCTCTTCAACCTGTCAACAAGTTAGGTAATTTAGAGAGCAGGGAAAGAACATCACTTTGAATATAACGTTCTACTACATTTGAATTGGGGAGCAGCTCTACGCACCACCTGGGGGTTCTGGCAACCAGAACAAAACCTGGTCTTTGAACTATTCTCAGATCTGAAGTAAAAGTTCAATAATCCAGAAATTCCTGGGCTGCTCTTGGTACTTGGGGCCAGGCTTCTGGTGAGGAGGCATTAATTGGTTGAGAGACCCTGACTTCCCCCTGAGGAAGACCATAATTGGGTAATTGTAAACGTGGAAAGAACAAGTAACTTGCGTGAAGGTGGTGCCTCCTGGAAGAAGTAGGAGAAGCCAGCAAAAGAAAGACTGAATTGGAAAAAGGGGTAGATCCACCGGGGGCTGCAGAGAAATACTTTCCAGGGAAAGTAACACACTAGTAGTGTATCCTCATAGAAGAGGCAATTGAGCAGTGGCTTGGAATGCTGCTGACTGCTCCATTCTAAGCTCCCATCTCAGTCATGTGACCCAGAGTGGAATGTATGCAGCTTGCAACAAATACAGGTAGTCCTTGCTTAATGACCATTTGTTCAGAGACTGAAGTTACGATGGCGCTGAACTAATGGTATTTACAGCTGGTCCTTGAAGTGACAGCTGTTGCAGTGCCCCTGCTGTCCCGTGATCAAAATTTGGGTGCTTGGCAGCCAGCCCACATTTACAACCGCAGGGTCCGCTTCAACAATCCCCACCCGCCTATCTCCCCCCATCTCTGCCCTTTTGGCTGCCCTGCCACACCACCCCTGCACTCCATTCTGTAACCCTGCTGCCCCTAGCTGACCTTCGCCGTCTTCCTCCTGCTGCTGACATGGGCACCCAGCTGAGGTAGCTGCTGGTCCTTTGCAAGGCAGCTGCTGGCCGAGTGCAGTCTCCTGAAGCAACACAAGGCCAGCAGCTGCTTCGCAAAGGGCCAGAACAGGTGTGCCTTGCTAGCAGCAGGAGGCAGAAGAAGGCAAAGATTAGCTGGGAGTGGCAGAGTGCAGGGAGGCCAAAGGGGCAGAGATGGGGGGAGAGATAGGCAGTTGGGGGGAGTTGAAGTGGAGGTGAGTGCGGCGGGGCAGAAGAAGCATAAGGTCCTCGCCTAATGACCACAACTGGGACTACCTGAACTGTCATTGCTAAGCGGTGCGGTCATGTGATGTTTCACCTAATGACTGCTTTGTTTAGCAACGGAAATTCTGGTCGCAATTAGGGTTGTTAAGCAAGGGCTACCTGTATGTACCCACACTGATTGGACCCCACCTCTTTCTTACAGGCACACAAATACACACACGCAAGAGATACTCACACACCTCCATTTAGACCCTCCCTGTCTCTCTCATTCTCTCTCACACACATAGGTATCCTGATTAGAGAAAGTACCATACAGATATAATGCACTGCAGCTCCATCCTGTGGCCACTGCTGGTAATGGCATTGAAATGAATTCCAGAAGCCATGCTCTGCATGCATTCCTATCTTATTTTTTCCAACCCAATGGAATGTTGGAGAGATATCATGTAAAGGGGTTGGGATGTTGTCTATCCATCAGCAACGTTTATTTACTTTACCTGCTTCTTACCCACAGCTTTCCCACAGCTCCTCAGTAAATCAGGGAGCCTATCAAGGATCTGCAAGGAAGAGAGGCTACTTGGCACAATCTCCTCCAGTGCCCTTGCCATCTAGGTATCCCAGGAATCAGTAAGATGCGTGGCAGATCTGCCTGCAAATTTACTGGGAAACCCCACCCCCCTTAAAAACCCAAGGGGTTCATCAGCTGTCTGGGGCAGACTTAATAGGTCCCTCACTCCTGCAGAAGTCCCGTGTGTTGATCGAATGCATGCAAGCCCGATGGTGGTCTAAGCACAGCAAAGGACTAAGAACAATTTTCTCCATTCTCAGAGTCTGTTGTATCTACTCCAAGGTAGAAGCCAGGTCCAAGATGTGGCTGCTTGTATATCAGGGCCACAAACACCCACAACTACCTAGCTCTACCTTCCAACACCAAAACCTGGAGGACTCGACCCCCAGACTTGCAATGAGATCTGGGAGAGGATGGCTGCCAGGCGGCGGGATAGCCAGTACCCAACACAGATCCATTGGGCCCTGATATAAGACAGGCACTAGGCTCAGCCCCCCGTGAGGCAGTGGTGCTAACTGCAGCCAAGTCACATGAACAATTGTTGCCGTGTTTCTTCCCCAGCCAAGGCATCAAGCAGCTGGAGCACCTGGAGATGTGATAGGCAAATTTCAGAGAAGGCTACATCTTCTCCCAGCAAGTCGCCCTAACGCAAACTCTCCAAAAAACTAAGAGGATGGGACAGAACTGTTGTGGTGAGAGACACTGGCAAGGAAAGGTTTAAAAAAAAAAAAAAGGTGGATCCAGCTGGCAGCTGCACATAGACGCTTCTTGTGGCAAGTCATGCCCTGCATACCTGTCTTGCTTTGTTTAAATGGTGTTGTACACTTTGAAGGTAAAGGGGGAAAATCTGTGGTCTAGTCTTGGTAGTTTAGGAAGACGACTGAAATTATCCATTTTTGGAGTGTGTAACTGATGAATCCATCTTGAACATTGTGTGGCAGGTAAGTAGCATCGTTATTTCTGGAGCTAAGAATACCCTGCCAGTAGACAGCAAACTGAGCTTTAGGGAACACGTCCATCTGTTTTTCCTTTAGGCTAAGAATGGATGAGAGTGCAAGCCCTCAACGTAAGCCAGTATCCTTGATGAATTTCTCCACAAAGTTGGTGCAAAGTTGTTTTGTCATTTCTTTCTGTTCCAGTTGTGATGAAACCCTAAAGTGCTGGAGCGAAGGGACCTGACGTTGAACGTTTTTGTCCTTGCTTGATTTTTTTTTTAAAATCTGAATTCTGTTTCTGTCCCTCTAGGTGATGGCAGAAGGGAAAATTACCAGACAGATAATTCAACTCCAGAACCTCTCCCCCTTCAGATTCAAGACCCGTTGCCGGATGTCATTGTGGCCAAACCCCAGCTACAACAGCTCCCCCTAAATAATGGTGTTAAGCAGGAATTTGATACGGTGGGTGAAATGAGAGGCCTGATCTTGGGCACCAAACACTGGAAGAGAATAGATGGGGCTGCCTTTTCCTTCCTCCTGTGCCTTACTGGAATTCACGCACCTTGCTCTCCACAGCCTTTGCGTCACAGCGGTGCTGGGACTTGCAAATCTAAGAGGCCTACACATCATTGCTCTTGCTGACCTGCCTCTATGTCTTTCTCAATCTCCCTCTGCCAACCCGCATGTTCAGAAAAGCATGTGGTTCTGTAATGCATCTGCGATTGCTAAGAGATGCTTCTGCTTTTTAAAGATGCCCAAGCACCTATCTTGAGTTAAAAGGCAGCAGGCTAGGGAGAAAGAGTCACCTCCCCCACATGTATAGAGTGCTGCTAACATTGCCTAGAGCGAAATATCTATGTTTAAGGCCTGCCCATCACCAGGCAGTGCAACGTTTTTGTCACGTCAATCACCGACTTGCTCTTCCTTTGGACAGGCTCCTTGTCGCATGCATTTGGCAGCCATCCTGCAGGAGCTGAAGGCCCCCCTCTACCTGAATGGCGAAGATATCTTCATTCCCAACTGTGACACCAGAGGCTTTTATAGGCGGAAGCAGGTACCCACTTGAAACAATGTTCAAAAGCAAAGGAAGCTCTCTGGGTCTTTGCGGGGTGACACAACCGTGCAGGTAAAACCCAGCTTTGGGCTGGAATGTGAAAGAACTTAGTCCAGAGAGTGAGTTTCCCACAGTGGTAGTAGTAGTGTGGGAGAAAGGGTGGGTGGGAGATTTACAGAATGGCCAAAGCCCAGTGTGCTTGCTGGGGCGCTCCAGTTTGCACTAGAGCAGTAACGCAGAACTGATTTACCAGTCTTGCTCCCTGACCTGTTCACATATTATGTTGAGCTGTGGTTTTAAGTCTAGTGGAGAAAGCCCCAATGCCTGGGTTCGTGCATTCTGCCAAACCACCCCTGTGGCACTTAGGGGAAGATTTAGCTGTCTCCTCTTACTTTTTAAAAGCCCAACCTATTTATGCTTGTACAGAAGTAAATCCAGCTGAGTTCTATGGTTCTGACTCAATAGGAGGAACTCAGGGGGACTGTCTCCTTGCTGGATGGCAAGGTTCAATGAGGCCTCCCAGATTCCAGATCCCCCAAGCATGGTTTCACTAGGACTACTGTCTAGATACAATCAACTTGCTAAATCTCCATCCTGATCCAACCAACTCCCTAAAGTGCTAGCAAACCATGAGCAGCAGTCAGGGAGCTGTGCAAAATGGGATTTAGAGAGCAGCAGGGGTATTCCCATTGAAGTGGCATGGCTTAAAGTAGTGTTTCTCAACCTTGGCAAGTTTAAGACATGTGGACTTCAGCTCCCAGCATGCTGGCTGGGGAATTCTGCGAGATGAAGTCCACATGTCTTGAACTTGCCAAAGTTGAGTAACACTTAGAACGTTCTGCAAATGTGCTGCGGATCAATTCTGTGCTTTTCAGTAATAGTAGAAGGCTCAGTGGCTGTCTTGGCCTTAGTTATTTCATCTTTCTTGCTAACAGAGATCAAGGTTACATATTAGAGAACTAGCGTCCTTTTTTAACGTAGGTAAGCCACTGCATATTTTTCTCCTGCGGGAAGAACTTGGTTTCAGCAGCAGCTGTATTGAGCAGCAAATAATTCAGATTTATTATGATTGGCTCCATTCAGTCGAATGCTTCAGATGAGCTCCGTTTTTTCATGTATAAATCTAGTGTTCCACAATGGCTATTGTTCCTTGGTTTTTCTAAATGTTTAAAGAAAGTGACTTTACTGTTGAAAAATGTCTGTCTTCTCCACAGTGCCGGGCCTCCAAAGGGCAGAAGAGAGGCCGGTGCTGGTGTGTGGATAAGAGAGGCCATCGATTGGAGGGGCTGGAAGAGAGCCCCCTCTGCCTGCTTGCTAACAGTGACTGAGGATGCAGGAAGAAAGGAGGCCAGCGTGGTCCAGCAGCAGGACTCTTGACTGAGGGGACTCGTCCTATTAGAGCAGTTATGGAAAATGTTTGCTTGTAACTTATTGCACAGTTGTTGCCTTGCTGGGATCCTGCCTTCCCTGGGATAACTTTGGAGCTGTTACTGTGTCTGATAATACCCCACCAAAGAATGGAGGCTGAGTTGGCTGCCTCGGAGAAACAGCAGATTGGGGTCTTCTAACTGCGTGACTGAAGAGGCTGTGTTCAATAAGCTACCAATGGCTGCATTACAGCAATAATGCTGGCACCTGAATCAATTTTCTTTGGTTGATGTGACATCTATCCTAGGTGCTGATACCAGTAAAGGGAGCAGGAATAGCCAGTTCCTGGAGGTGCAGTATGTATACTTCGACTACCTTCTATAAAATGCCTAGGGAGAGACCGGGATTTATCTTAAACATCCTACCAAAGTAGATGTGTTTTGTGGAAGGGATTTTAACAGCATGACCGTAGTACCCATTAAGGGCAACATAGGAGGAAGTAAAATTGAATTTGGCCAGGTTTTCACATGGCCTACATCTACAATTTAAGCAAGAGAGTGAAAGTGCTGCAGGATACTGGAAACGAGGTTTATGGAACTTCTAGCTGTAGCTTTCATGTTGTCGCACACTCTCCCCTCTGTTCTACTTCATGGCTCTCCCCCAGCATATCCTGTAAAGAGCTCTCTGGATGACAGGAAAACCTGAAGCTGCCTTCCACACGAGAAGCAGCGGATGATGGATTGCCTCTATTTGCCATAACATGCTTTAATTTAATGTGTTTAAACAGATAGGTCTCAATTTCTATATGTTTTACTATCCTTGATTTCAATAAATCTGATGATTATGCCACCACGTTTAGTGAACGATTTGGTGATATTTTAAATCCCTGATGCAAGGAAGCTAAACTTATTTCTTTGGGGGAGAGCTTTTTAAAACACTGTGTTGCATTCAAAATGTAATATTTGCTGGCAGGTGGAATTAATTGTTCTTTATAACTGACAGATTGCTTACTTATAAAACATGAGGTATCTGGTTAATAATTGAGAGGTTTTATTTAGTTCTAAATGGGCCCTTAAGAGGCTATCGGTGTCAGTGTTTTGCTGGATAGAGATCTGAAAACAAAGCTAGTTTAGAAAGATGGAATGGAGAAGCAAAGAAAAGGCCCCAGTTATGCAGCTGGCAAGACGGGCAGGCTGTCCAAACGGATGCTCTCTTACATATCAACACAATGGATCTAGCATTCCAGCTAACAAAGAACCTTTTTTTTTTTAATTAAAACACAGCATTTGTTGTATCAATCTCCTGGATGCTCCTCCAAAAGACAATTTAAATCCCTAAGTAACTCCCTGAAATAGAGAAGCATGCAAGTGTAAGACAACCTCCTTCCCAAAATTGAAAAAGGGGTGGCGGCATGGGAATGAATACAAAAAATAATTGTGGCTAGAACTGTGGGTTTGGGGGAAATTTTTGAATCAGGATAGTGTTCATCTCAGTATCCATAGTCTGCACAAGTATTTGGGCTACATGATTTAAAGTGAAAAAATAATCAAATCTAGCCCATTTGGCACCATGAACATTACATTAAAAGCTTCGTGGAGAAAATTATTGGAATATTGGGCACAGCGTTGGGCAATAAAACAATATGCAGTTGTAGTGAACAACCACCAGGAAAACAAAGATTATTTGAAACTGCAAAACGTACCTAAAGTGGGAAAATGGTCTGGCTCACATCTCTGCTTCTGGCTGAGTTCACATATCACGTTAACCGATAAACCATGATTTATAATTCACAATGGCTACTTTCACAACTAATAAACCACATTATAATGCACATTTAAACTCCATTATCTTCACTTCTCTCCCATTCCTTTCAGATAAGATTTTGCTCTTTCTTTGTTGCGCTGAAATACAACACATGACCATTTGATTCTTTGCGCATTATTACAACTCCCATGTTGTAGTCTCGGGCTGGTTTAGACAGGAACATCTGAACAGGCCTACATCCATATTGAACTGAAACTATAATTTATGATCAAGTAAGTGATAAATGACATAGCATAGCAGCCTCAGAATCACAGGTCTTTTTAGATACTGAAAACAAGACTTGTTAACCTTTAATATTTTAAATGTGAGCTTTAAATACGAGTAACTGCTCAAGCATGAAAGCTCTGAAGGTCAGACCGTTGGTGGTTAAAGATATGTGGACTTGAGCCTTGCCCTCTTAAATTAAAAGCATACTGCACAGAAAGCTAGTCTGCAACTTTAAAAAAGCTATTATCCAATAACACTTTATGCAGTCATCCCATTCCAGCTAACAAAGAATTCTTAACACAATTCCTGAATTAAATCAGTTGTCAATAGCTTACCTGTCCTAAGCTAGACATCCTAAAACATGTGTTGAACTTCGCTGGCAGAGTATCCCGAAAATGAGCAACGATCTCAGATAGTCAGCTAATCCTAAAAGCCAGACCACTCATCTATACCATCCATAACTTCCTTTTGTGTTGGAATTAGAGAAGGGAGAAACAGTGAGGCAGATTTGACCACAAGGACTGACATCTGCAAATCCTTTGGTGTTAAGAGCTGTGGAGGCACGAAGGGGAAGGATGCCATATAGAAGCTTTTTGAACACAGGAGTGGGGGAGATGTTTCAGGCATTGCAAAGGGTTGATTTACAGAGTTCGAAAGAAGGACCTTTAAGCATGTAGAATGATAGGTCAGTCGAAAGCAGCAACAACGTAACGTGAGCTAGAAACTACTGAATCAGGTTTGTCAACCATCCATTTGCCAAATTCAAGCAAAACATAAAGGTGCTGTTCATAACTCATTTCACCTATCCTCACTGAGCACCTCTCAATGAAATCAGTTGTAAAACTGAGTGTGTCTGTTAGGAAAGATCTCTCTGCACTCTGACCAAGCTATGTCAGCGAATGGCTCATGGAAGCATTTTTGAGGACCAAGGCATTTCTTTTTCACTTTCGGAAGCCCATTGCCAAGTTCACTCACTGTATGCCACACACAATGCTCCAGGACAACACCACAAACAACCAGGGGAAATCTTTAATGGCAGAAACTTTTCATAGTCAAGGGGATATCAGATGTTTGTTTGCGGATGAATTATGCAAGTTGTAGTACTAATGAGAGTAAGCAGGATTAGGCCTCCTCGCTTCCCAAGTGACATAATACAAAGAAACTTCATTTCCTACTAAACAAAAACATACTTTTTATTAAAAAGTTCACAACTCAAGTTAGAAAACATTAAAATACCCTCTGTTTGTTCACTGACTAAAAACTTAGTTATGTTTGTACTAGCGTTGACCATTTGGGAGGGAGATTTTATTCTGTTCAAAAGACCTTCATGGCTTACATCCCAAATTAAGTAAAGTTGTACTGCATAGATTAAATCTGTTGACATACTTAATGTTACACATTGGTTTCATCATTTTACACAATCAGTGTACATACAGTATGGAGCACAGCCTTTTCTTTACATTTCAAACAGGAAAAAGTAGTATGTCAGCTTTATTGTTTGATCAGTTTTCCCTATCTTCTGGTTTTTGGAACCAACTCTGATCTTGATTAAAATACTGTAACAGATCCTTGCGTAACCAAACTGAGTGATCAGTTTGGTGACTAGGAAACAGACAGGGTCTGAAAATAGAAGAATGGAGTATTAGAGCTCTTTCAAACCTCACAAGAAGTGAGGGTGGGGGTAATAGAAACTGAAAAGCATAATTACATGTCCAATTTATGAGTTAATAAATTTTGGATGGCTATAAATACAAACATTTTGGATGGGTATAAACACCTACTATGAGTTTATTGCCTTATCCTTATCCAGATACAACTGAATTTTCTCACAGGATTACAGTACCATTGAGGACTACTAGGGCAAAAACAAGTAAGATGATTTAAATCTGAACCATGGTGGGTTTGCTGAAGATCACAAAGCTTTGGTTTCCAAAAAGCAGTTTTGTACAAAACTCAGCGTTCCAAAATGTTGTTTCTCCTCCAGATCACTCTGATCCAGCCATACAGAAATTAATTCTCCAAACTGAAAGTGGCCCTTATCTGGTATGGTGTGTTTTGCACAACCTCACCAAAAAGGCTACAAATAAATCAAGCAATATTATACAACAGGGAACACGTGGGATCTCTACAGGAAGTATTTTAGTTGAAGCAACCCCCTTCCTGAGTTATATAATTTAAAATATTTCTATTTGTGCAATTCTCAGGTATAGGAGGGGAGAGACCTCCCTGGGAGGCCTAGCCACTTGCTGGTTCCTAGAGAGCTCATTATGCATTCTGCAACAAGCAATAGCCTCAGACTTACCATGTACTGAACCTAGGAGGCAACAATTAAGCCAACAAGTGAAATGTGCAGTCACTGGAGCAAGAGCAGCACGCCCACAAATCTTTGTTGGCGCCCTGGAAAACCAAACTTCAAAGAGCAGCATCTACTGCTTTCCAGGAAGGAGACATGGCACAAAATTAGGATATGTCTATCAAATTCAGCTGGACTTTCAAACCTTTGTTCAGGAAGCCTGTTTTTTTATCAAGGCAACATAATTTGTCATTATTCCTTGGCTTTTGGTAACGATTTATAAGCTTTCCATATTCCTACTCCTTAGCCTACTCACAGCTGACAGCTTAGGTTCCGACCAACTTGTAGTTCATAAGACATTTAGTCCAGGATATTGAGGTATATCCCAAGTATAGTGCAGTTCATGATCATGTCATGGTCTGGAACAGATAGCAGGTCTTTAGGGGCCTGTCATACGCCGTCCACTCAGATTGCCAAGCCTATGCAGCTACTTAAGCAATGCCATACAGAAAAGGCTTTCTATAGCAATCCTCCATTGTAGCAGAAGACAGTAAACCTGGGGATCAATAAGGGGCATCAGTCAATCCATTTGCATCAACAGTGGCCAGTTTTATCTTGAAAATTTAGGTGATTCTGGGGCCATGATGCGTCCACACAATCCTCATCAAAACTGGAGTCTCCTTCCTCATCTTCCTCTTCAAAGAGTTGATTCTCTAGAAAGAAACCCCCCAACCCATACTCCTGCTCATGGACAGAAATCTCATTGGGGATGACATGTGAGGCACCTTCTATGAAGTCAGCAAATCTGGAGGAAAGAAAGAGAACAATGTGGGCAATGCTGTAACTAATGAACCCTGACCACTCCTATAATTTTTATTATACACAACGTAGCTCTGCAATCTTTACCAAGGGCTTGCACCTCTAGATTGAGGTGAAAACCCTGCTTAGGTATAGCATATACACACAAAAGGTATGCTTGGCTGGATTTTCCTGCCGTGGAAGAAACCTAGATTCACTTTTGAATCCGATTTCCCCCACATCCCTTTTCCTGGTCCCATTTCCTCTCACAGATGTGGCTTTCAATTGGATCTCTGAGAATTTTAAGATTACAAGATGACCCCATAGCACATTACAGCTCACCCCTCCCTTCTGGTGATCTTCTTGGGCAGTACCTCTTTGGAGACTGGATGCGGGAGACTGCTTTCCATGCACAGAATTCCGGACTGCTGCAGTACTCCCGCAATTGTTCCAAGGCTCTGCGTGTCTCTACCTCCCCCTGGATCCGATATTCCTCCTCAGTCAACAGACGTGGCGGGCTAGGCTTTTCTGGAGTTGTGAACACCTTCCTGCTAGGACAGCAATGGTGTTAGTAGCACCTATAAGTTGAACACTGAAGACTGGCCCCTTGCAATCATTTTCAAACCACTTAGGAGATGATACCTGATACACACACTCTCACAACTGTACCCTATTTCAAGTTGGGGACAAAGCTGAACATTCTAGAACCAGGCCTTCTGGAGAGGGATACTGTCCTCCCAGTTTTACTACATTATTCTGTAACAGTTCCCAGTCATGTTATGTCTTTTGCATAAATATCTAAGAAAGACTAAAACATTATTGTCTATGTTTGTGATAATACTGTACTGTTACTAATCTTCAACATGCCATAGGACTTTGATAAAGATTATTGGAATGGTGCTCTGAAATCAACAGAGTCTCTTCCTGAGAACCTGGACTTATTTTTGCTCAGCAGCACTTACAGAGTAGGATCTTCCACAATCTAATGCATGTTAGCTAGTCAGCCCTCATTTCCCTCCCCCCACAAATTTTTTAGCCACAGTTATGGCTTATCTTAAATCAGCTGTGTCCCACTCCTCTAAAAAAATACCTCACTCAATAGTTTTCCCAAAAGATCTTACATATGTATTTAGACAAAGCTCTCAAATGCAACACCCAGAGATCTTTTACTCACATAACTATTTTACAAAACACAAGACATAGATCAGGAGCCTGGCTCTCACATAAGAATGAACCTTGAGAAGCAGATTCTCTTGCCAAATGCTTGCAAAAGCCACATAGCTGTATGAAGCCAGTGATTCAGCCTAAAGTGTTGAAGTCATGACCTGTTCCTATTCCAAAGTCTGCTTCCCTCACCAGCTCTTCCACCAGGCTGCACAGAAAAAGAAAAGGAGCCTTGAGGCCTCCTCTGCTGGGCTGGCTGAGACCTTTTGTCACTTGGCTTTTCTTTTTGGAGAGTGGTCTCCTCACCAATAATTTTACTTCTTGCCAGAAGAAACTTCCATAATGTTCTACAGCATCTAAGAATTGCTTGTCATCCATGTGCCTAATTTTGTTTTGTCTCTTATGTTAAAAATTATAGCAGGAATTACCTTTCTTTTAAAGTTTGGCAAAAGGCATTTATCAATGAACAATGCACTTCCCTTCAGTTCTGAGCAAGCTCTTTCTACAAGTGTGTCCAGGTTGTGGTGAAGACGCAAGAAAAATAATTTTTTTTATAGCCACCCAAATGCTCAAGAGATAGATCATGACATCTGTTCAACACACTAAACCATTTATTACAGTGGTTCAGTTCACACAACATGCTAAGCCCAAACTAAACAAACATTTCAGTTTAGTGTATTGTGTGAACCAGATCTGAGTCTCATTTCCCTCTCCTAAACTGGTGTGTTGAACAAATAACCATATTTTTACTTGCTCAAGCAAAAAAAAAAAAAAGTTTGTTCACCTTTAGAGGATTTAAAGCATACGTTGACCTCACGGTGCTTGCAGATATCACGTAACCAATGGTACCCTTAAATGGTGCCCCAAAATTGAAAAAACAGCCTAACTCTCTTGAGATTTCAGTGTTCTTTCTTGAGATTTTGCAATTTCAGAGGTTTTTTGGCACCTTTCTCTTCCAGGAAAATCACATAATGATGTCTGCCATCTGAAAAGCCTTTATGCCTAAACTATAGGAACTAGAGAATTAGCCAGGAATGAACAATATGCTAAGAATTTCAACAACTGAAAACGTAATTCATTCATTTTTGGAACAGTGTTATATGCACAAACATATTCACGCACACACCCTACAGATCTCTTAAGGTACTTATCATTACATTGTGTTTTCTAGGATGAGCAAACCCAGGTTTCCCATCCATCACCTGTAGATGGCATAGGCCCATAGGACTGGGTACTCCATGTTTTTAGTGCAGATTGCAATTACAATTAAGATGACGGCAATATGTCGTATCTGAATGCTCAGGTAAAGGAGAAGCAAGCCGAAAGACTGCAGACCCCAAGTGAGGAGGTTTATACTCCGTTCATTCTCCAGAGGACCATATTTGTAGCACATGGCGAAGCTTACACACCCTACGATGACCAGGTAGCCTGTGGAGGAAGAAAAAGAATGATTTTTAATCTGGATTTTCACTATCACCATGAATTACTCCTTCAGGATAATTTAATCATCTAAGTCAGCCAATAAGACACTGGTTATAAACATCAGATCTGTTCCAAACAACATGGGCATTATCGTACAGCCAAAACACAGAAGCCAGAAGGAAATAAAATGCAAGAATTCATGCTTTTGACTCAGCGTATCTTACAAAACATCGAACTAGCACAGTCTACAACAGATAGGATGCTGATCCAGAAGAAATGCATCCCACTTTTTACCAATGGAGGGAAGAAAAGAAGTGTTATAAAATACTATGTGCATAGGAGACAAAGTAAAGTTTCTTCTAATATATGGTATTGGAGCAGGAAAAAAACCCAGAAATTTTAATAATTCATCAAATAGTCCCACTAAAGACCATCCAGATGTCTTACACAGCTGTTCAGCTTATCTTCTGGTGCTGATTTTAATCAGGTTTTGAATCCTTTGCTTGATTGCAATATTGTTTCAGGTAAGTTGAGCTCTCATTTATGGCAAGTGTTAGTTACAAGCCTATTTACTGGTAGACATATGGCAGCTTCTGAATACATCACAATGGGAACAGACTTTCCCCCCCAATTCTTCATAAAACTCGTTCCTGACAGGATTGTTTTTCAGTCTCTTGAACTTTAGCAGATTGGCCTATAATTGTAGTATAAATCTTATTGCAATATTTGATCATGCTCCAAAAACAATATCAGCTGTGTTAATAACACTAATCTTTTATTTCAAGATAGTCTTTGAAAGTTTCCCTCTTCACGTTTTATAGAGTATGAGACATGATTATAAGCTTTTTTTATTCTGTAATCGTAGTGATTATATGGGAGGCTTTCAAGGCATCTATTTGAGGTTGGATAATTGCTTATGCTTATAAAGAAAGAAAAAACAAAAAACTGACACATCATAATTTGGAAAATCATGTTAAGGAACTTTCAGTTAATTATGTAAGACACTGCAAGCCAGAATTATCTAATGCTTTTATGTCTGATAAAATGGAACTTCATGCTCTAGAAACTAATATTTATTGAATGAAATCAAGCAAGACTATTGGGAGTGAGAGAAAAAATCTGCCAAATTACTAGCTTCTAGGCGTAACCAGTATCTATATAGTAGAATCATTTTTATTATAAAGGATTCTCAGGATAAAACATATACTGATGTGAATTTGATAAACCAGCCTTTTAAAATCTTTTTAACCTAAATTCAAGGGTCTTAGATTAATGAATTATAGAGTGTCTAGACTAAATAAACCTTCCAAAGATTACCCATGACCAAGCTATTTATTTGTGACATGATTTCTTCAGAAATTAAGTGATACTACTGCATCGACTTAAAGTGGCCAGGCTGTTGGTCCAGATGGCTTTCCATCAGTAGTATAAGGCATTTACTGGGTTTTTTGTTTCTATACTTTTGGATAGTTATGCCTTTTTTTTTTTAATAAAGATGTCTTTCTGATTTTTTTTCTTTTTAATTAGAGTGATTTTGATAGTTGGTAAAGATCCTATTGATTCTGCAAGCTCTATATTCTGTTTTTCTATTTAGTTCTGTTATAGTTACATTTTAATTTCTTTTTTATTAGAAGTGTAGTTACAATTTTAAAGTCCTTATTAATAGAGAATAAAAATACAGTCCAAATCTAGACCTTGTTTTATATGACAAGCAATGAGGAATGCATAACTAGCATTCTTTGGCAGGTTATTCTGAAACTGTAGCTAATATCACTATTTCCTTCCAGAACTTCCATCCTCAGTGTCTCATACTATCATGGATTCACAAATTTGTGTAAGATTTGTTATTTTCTTCTATTTAGTGACACCAAATATACTACTGCAGAAAGAATTCTTTGTACTTTTCCTAAGATAATTAGGAAATGTAATAACCTGTGGAATCTATTTACGCAAATTAATTGGGACCTTGGGACCAATTTAGAAAGTAGTTACTTAAACGTTGCTTAAGAAAGTCACCTTCTGGTTATTTCCCTACCTAGATTAGCTCAGAAGTATGCAAAACGGCCTCAAGCTCAAAAACTGAAGGCTACCATCTACTCACCAAGTAGATATTCCCAGTACAATGTACATATTTCCTGCAGATTTCTGAAGACCAACTGGGTAAGGTAAATAGAAAAAGACCAGCCTCCCAGAATCATGAGATAGATAGGGCTCTTCTAGAACAAAGAAATAATAAAAGTTACCAATTAGAGAAAGCTACTTTGGCATTCTTGACAGTTTCTCTCACCTGCAGCTTGAGTGTTCTAATATGGAGGCTTCACACAGTGCAGTCATCGGCTGTGCTCTTTCAATCATGAACAGATCCATCCAGCAATCATAACATATGCTTTTCTGGATGAAGCTTTTATTACCCACTGATCTGAAACACTTGGATGTCTCAAGGCCTACTTCTCAAAATGTAGCAGCAACTGCAGCATGTCATATTCTCTGTGCGGATTTGAGACATCACATAAGATGGGCCCACCCAGCACAGGTTTATCATGTTGTTTTTAATACTCAAGTCTTTGCTTACAATTTTTTGTATGAGGAGTAGGGGAAGTAGCACTGATCTGATTTAAGCTGATCATTCTCAGATACACCAAAGGCACATTCTCCATGCTTTTTTCTTTGACTCTGTTTCTTTAGTGAACAATATTGTGTTATACTGGTATCCCTTTCATCCACTGTAGTCACTTGCCCAGTGGGAAAGGAAAACAGAAGGCTTTATCACCCTCTTTTCCTTTGCTAATTCAAACCAAACCAAACATTTTAAGGAACTGTAAATGGGGAATCAGAAAGGAGCAGTATGGGTCATCTTAGTTATGGGTTCATAGATCAGCTTACACAATACAAACAAAAAATATTAGTGCAAAGTTAAAAATAAAAACATTAAGATGTACAGCTAAAACATCTACCCTGCTTCCTTCTAACACTTGTGTATCAAAGGCTGTCTTTCCTATGTCGCTTTTAAGCAAAATCTGCTACATTATTCATAATTGAGTCTTTCTGATCTAATAGCAGACAATTAATCTTTTGCTTTTCTCTTTGCAGACCTTTCCCTCAAAATAGATGCAGCACATGTAACTAGGGAAACTTTCACCAAAGGCATATGAGTATGTACCAAATGGATAGAGATAGTGTTTAAGTGAAAAATGGCAGAATCTACCTCTAATAATGTAGATGGAAGAGTGTTAAAATGGGCCAAAGTGAATGCTCTTCTATAGTCCAGCATGGATGTAGATACTGAGATAGAGTATAAGCTTTCCTTGTGTTAAATAATGGCAAAAATATTCTGGGAACTCTGTATCTCTTTGTGTTAGGATATTTTTAATTCTGTCTCTAGAAAAATTACAAAATGAGGCAAGAAACTCCCATCATTAAGATAATTTAAAATTTTTATCCACTGAATCAATCAGGGTTAGGAACGCTAAGGAGTCTAAAGAAATATTATATGTATTTATCCAATAATTTAGATTTAAAACCAAACTCTTTCTTTAATTAAAAGCTTACAGATTCTAACAAAGTATGAGAAACATATCAGGGGCACTTAAACATTTACTCTGTATTATCTCCAATGGGCCACAATCAATACCTGTATATCAGTGTTTTTCAACCTTGGGAACTTTAAGATGTTTCGGCTTCAACTCCCAGAATTCCCCAGCCAGCATGCTGGCTGGGGAATTCTGGGAGGTGAAGGCC